TTGAGAAGGTCTCCCGCTTGGCAGCTCCGGCTCAGTCAGCTGGTCCCCCAAGTGGACCTCTTCTATGGACCCTGTCTGAGCTCCAGGGGAAGATTATCAAAATCTTCTGAGGTGGGCGCACATATAGCGGTGACCTCCTCTGTCCGCTCGTGGTAGGGCTTCAGCATGTTAACATGAAACGTGTCTGGCTCCTGTACCCGAGCAAGGACCGATCACTTAGGTAGTGGCACACTTCTTGTCCACCACCCGTTATGGCCCCTGCCAGGCAGCTTGTAGACCATCATGCCGGACCAGTTTCAGAACCAAAGCCTTCTGACCTGCTTGAAAGCTACGGCCCCTGGCTTTCACGCAGACCGGTCCCTCAACTGGGGTCAATCCCTCTTGTAATGGTCCCACTGGTGGTACTGATGACATGGACCAGCTGCCCGGCTTGGGGCCCTTGGGGTTGGTGCGGGAGCCGCAGAGCCTCAGGGTGGGGTGGCTGCAGGGGAGGTCAACTGGGGTGCCAGTCATACGGGGGGTTGGTGGATTGGGGTGGTCGCTGGACCCTGGGGTCGCCTGGTATATGCGTACTCATGTGCGTTTTGGGCTGCTTCCGTTAGGGTCTTGGGCTGTCGGTCTCTTACCCATCTTTAATCTTTTTGGGTAGCCTGTTGTAGAAATGTTCCAATAGGAACAGCTGCAGCACTTCCTCAGGGGTTTTTGCCTGCTGGAACTGCACCCAGCTTTGGGCTGCCTTGCCTTGTGGGAGTCTTGGGACCCCTTTTTCAGTTCTCTGAACTATCGGTGGTATGCCTCTGGGGTGATGGCATACCTTGTCAATAGGACCTGTTTCACAGCGGCATAGTTTGGGCTTGGGTTCTGGGGTGGCTGGACCCCCTGGGAGTTCCCCAGCCTGCTCAGCACTGGATGCGGGGTTCGCCCATTCCCTCTGCGCCAAGATATAGATTTGGGTCATGATCTCTGCAGAGGGCCTCTTATCTTAGTATGCCAAGCGACTAACCATTTCCTTGTCCAGGGCATCTTTCTCACCCCCTGGCTGCTGTGCAGCGGCCGCACCGCATATTCGGTTGTCCTCTATGAGGGCATTGACCAGGTCTGCCTTGGGTTGGAGGCATCAACTTCGAGAATATAATTCAAAGCAGGATTGGGCATTCTTAAAACAGGAGCTGAGGTGAACTTATGTTTAAGAAAATCAAAAGCTTTGTGTGCATCGTTCGTCCACAGAAACTGAATATTCTTTCTTGTGAGGGATATGAGGGGTTGTACAATATTAAAAGGTTTTTTTTTATAAATTTCCTATAGAAGTTGAGCCATGAAAGAATACACTGAATTTTGGAGTCATCCATTTTTATTTGCTAAGGGGAGATAATGTATCCAAGAAAAGTAATTTCAGATTCTTCAAATAGACTTTTTACTAGTTTCGAGTGTGTGTGTGCGTAATCTTGATAGAACCCACCTTACATGTTTTCTATGATCTTGAAGTGTGTCTGAATAAATGAGAATGTCATCAAGGTGTATAATAGCAGGTGGAACTGCACTCAAACCCATTTGAAATGTATGACCAGTCCCAGTACCAGGAGCCAAGTATTTGATGAGGAGAAATAGAGAAAAAGTCCAGGCACTCTCAGGATACAAAAATACAAATTTATTGAACCCACTGTAACGTTTCGACCTACACGGTCTCTGTCAAGCTTGAAACGTTGCAGTGGGTTCAATAAATTTGCCTTTTTGTATCCTGAGAGTGCCTGGATTTCTCTTCTATTTCTCCTCATCATGGTGTATAATGACACATATGTCAAGAAGATTGCGGAATATATTGTTTATAAAATGTTGAAAAGTAGCAGGGCGTGGAGAATCCCGACGGCATCACAAGGTATTCATATAAACTGTACCATGTACAGAATGCAGTCTTTCATTCATCTACTTCTTTCATTCTGATGAAATTATAGGCCACACAAAGATTAAGTTTAGTATAGAGTGTAGCGGTTCTTAGTCTTTCGATTGGCCCCTTAGTGACCAGACCGTTTTTCAATTTTCTTACCGTTCATTTCTGCAGTGTTTGTGTTTAGCTGTAATTTTCCTCTTACTCAAAACATTTTAAATACCATTTTTCTCGCCATTAAATGGTCTTTCTAAATATACCATTATTTTAATCATATCATATAATTTACTATAAAAAAAATATAAACTATGATGAAGAAATAAAAAAAAAACACACTTTTTCTAACTTTGACCCACAAAATCTGTTACGCATCTACAACCGCCAAAAAACACACGTGCTAAATAGTTTCTAAATGTTGTCCTGAGTTTAGAAATACCTAATGATAACATGTTCTTTTTTTGCAAGTTATAGGGCAATAAGTACAAGTAAATAAAGAAAAATTCCAAAAAGGCTGCTTTACTAGAATGCAGCCAATAGGAAAAGAAAAAGAACCCAGTCCAATCTCAAAAAAAAGAATAGTATAAATAATGTCAAAGTCTGATAGACACCTAAAGGATATATTGCCATCTTTCCCTTCGATTACAGCACGGAGGGGTAAGAATCTGAGAGATTTGCTAGCGCCTAGCCATCTCTCGATTACACCTTCATTGGGGTATTTTCATAAATATCTACCAACAGGCACATTTCAATGTGGTCATTGCAGTGCCTGCCCATTTATTAATAGACACTCCAAGACGTTTTCTGATAGTGGGGATAGGGAGAAATTTAAACCCCACTCTTTCTTCAACTGTCACACAACTGGGGTAATTTACCTATTGACTTGCTCCTGCGGTTTGAAATATGTGGGCAAGACTTTTCGTCATTTCAGACTCAGGATACGAGAACATGTAAATTCTGTCAGAAGACATTTGGAGACACCAGTCTCTAGACATTTACATTTACATCATAATCATTCCTCAGCAGGTATCCGGTTTATGGGTCTGGAACATATACCACAACCACCGCGAAAAGGAAACTGGGATCAGAGATTAAGACAAAGAGAGGCCTTTTGGATTTATCGCCTCAAAACTCTGTCCCCACTTGGGTTGAATGAAGGGTTTTCTTACTCCCCGTTCATTTAATAGTATGGCAATACCTTTAAGGTATCTTTTGTTAAGTTTGTACATATGTATATATATTCTTTATTAGTTTTTTATATATTTGGTTGCTACCCCTTTATTGCCCTTTTTCCTTCTTACTTTTACACCCATTTATTACCCTCATTTTCATATCATATTAAGGTGTCTTATTCTATATGCCATAGATTTTGGTTGTATTTGTGCTGTTAAAGTACAATGTCTGTTCATAGATACACTTATAATATAATATAATACATCCTAGTGGCAACATAGTACTTAAATTAGACACCGTTACTCATTTGCTTTGTAGACCTTGTTTGAATATGTACTGTGCTCAAACATGGACACATTGGCAACATCTTAACCTTTTCTCAGCGGCAACTTCCTGTTTAGACATTGTTAATTATTTTGCTTTTTCTGACCTTTTAACCTAAATGATCCATTTTTTCGTTTGGGATCATTTGGGGTTTATCATTGGGTCAGATGTTATTGTCCCAGTTTTATTTGCCCCTTATTGTGAAGAGATGCCCCATGTGGATGATGTTTGTGGGACATGAGGGGTTAAACTACTGAACCGGCTTTTTTGATTACTCCGGCCGCTCACGGTTTCTCTCTTGTGAGCGGCGACGTGTATACCACGCCCCCACAATCTTATTGGTGTAGCGACCGGAGAGACTGAATACCCATTGATTGGGTGCCGGCATTTGTGTCCCGCCCCTCTAATGATATTATTGGTGCGGTGACCTAATTACAGGAGGTACTCATTGGCCGCCGCTCAGGTGTAAGAGAATTAGTATGGGTATAAATTACAGGGCAGGGATGGCTTCTTTTTTGCAATACCCCTGAGGACGGCGTGCAGTTTCGCCGAAACGCGTGTTGGGTTTTTTGTTTTTGCACCAACGAGCACTGGGCACATTATCAATTTGACTATGGTCTAGGTTTAGATTACAGATTAGAACACCCACGAAGGTGTTGTTTAGGAGATAGTGTATTAGCTTAGAGTGTCGTCTCTACCTTAGGAGTGTCCTTTCGATTTGGGAAGGTATTAAGGAGGGGGGAGGTTTGATCTTGAGTATTGGTATTTTTTGGTTCCCTTTATGTTATAATAGGGGCATTTTTTCCTCCCCTCTTTTGAGTTGCCTAATACTATATACCATATATGCAGCCTCTCTCTCCTATCAAGGTTACCTATGTTGCTATTCACTAAGGTATATGCTATACAAGTTTAGTTCACTGCCTTTTTTCCTTTTGGCAGTTTGGCAGGCTTTTGTATATATGTTATATACCCCTCCTAGTACTAGACCTTAGACCTTTTTGGTCAATTTTTTATCCTAATAAAGTTTTATTTTTTTGACATTATTTATACTATTCTTTTTTTTGAGATTGGACTGGGTTCTTTTCCTATTGGCTGCATTCTAGTAAAGCAGCCTTTTTGGAATTTTTCTTTATTTATTATCTCTTGGGTTATCCCCTATTACCCAGTTTAGGTGACCATACTTACCCAGGGGAAGGGAGGGGGGAAGGGGATTTTGTCTCTGTCCCTACCTTCCGGTACCCTGTGTATGTCCTTTTATTTTTTTGATTAATAAGTACAAGTAGCACTTTGCTATTTCCGAACCATTTTTTTTTTTTTTAAATTAGCGAAAGTTACATTGTAACACTGTATCTGTCAGGAATCCCTTAATAACCCTTCACATGTATATATTTTTTAAAAGAAGACAACCTAAGATATTAAACTTGGGGTCGAACTTACCAGGTACGTCCGAGGTTGTTAATCACCGTTTTTTTGTCGGATGTACCTGGTATGTCCGCGGTCGGGAAGGAATTAATACAGGTATTATTTTTTTATCTTTTTTTAAAATTCAATTCTCAGTAGTCAATGATTGGATGAATTGTTTAATCTATTTGTAGAATAGATGAATGAAGGAAATACGTGTCTAGGCAATGTTTAGAAGGAAAATCTATGCTGATAGGAGACCAAATGATTGAATGATTATGTGTCTGTAACCAGGTCATCTCTAATATGACAGGAAACAGAGGAGACTTGACAACATCAAATACTAAGTACTCAGAATGGTCATGATGTATATTCATCTTTAAAGGAATGGTTTCAGAAACAAAAGAACCAGAATCGATGATGGCCTCAGTTTGTAATCGTTCTTTATCCCACTGTAATGTAATAGAAATTACACAATGAGAAGTGGTTTGGGGAGAGACCTTCAATATAGTGAATACATTAACTTGCTTACCACTCTTTGAACATTTCAACAGATGACAGGAGTCTAAGAGATCTTCACTGGAAGCGCAGTACATGCAGAGGTTAAGGTTTCTTCTCCTTATTTTTTCATTAGGAGTTAGAGAATTTCAAATTATGCCTATTTCCATAGGTACGGATGTTTTTCGACATGTCTAGGAAGTATCAAAAGGTCTTTTTCAGGCAGTTACGTTGGTGGTTTTTTGGCTCTTCTTTCTCTGATCCTGCGATCAATGGATATAGAGAGTCTGATAAGGGTATCCAATGTTGGAGGGAGTTCTGTGCGAGAGAGCTCATCCTTGACAGAGTCAGAAAGGCCTAAATGAAACTGGTTTCTCAGGGTAATATCGTTCCATTGCATTTTCATGGCCCATATTTTAAACTCCGCAATGTAATCTTCCACCGGTCTTTTACCTTGGCCAATGCTTCTAATTGTCATGTCAGCTGTGGCTTGTTTATTGGAGTCTTCACATAGAAGAGCCATGGCTGTAACGATACCTTACCTTTACCCACCGGACCCATGCAGCGCGGCGGTCTCCCTTGCTGCTTCCAGGAGGCGGCACAGTCCGTCTGACGCTGGGCGCTCGCAGCAGACGTCAGACTATTGCCGCAAAAATTCAAACGTGGCCATGCTCCCGAACCTTTTGCGGGCGTTGCTTTAAAGTAAAAGACACCTCACTGTAAAAGGGCGCCCCTGTCATTTCTTCAGCGCCCTAGTGTGGTTCTTGTGTGTTCCCTCTAGTGCTCTTGCGATTCTTGTCTGTTTTCTGGTATTTTGACTCTTGGCTTTCCTTACTGACTCCTCTCCTCTCTGGTTCCCCGATCATTGGCTTGGTTATTTCTCGTGTATTCCGATTTCTGTACTCCCTCGACCTCTGGCTATTCCTTTGACTATTCTTTGACGTTGACCCAGGCCAACCTAAGGTCCGGTATACGTCTCTTTCTGGGTTACTCTCTGCGTGAAGGGGTCACTGTCGTGACAATGGCTGCAAAAAAAACAGGAAGTCAATTGAGTATAGGGTCATTACTTTCCAAGAAACTGTGTGCCTAAGCAGGCTTAGCTACAAATTAACTGAGTGATCTCAAAGCTGCCGCAGCGTCCCTCATATTGCGGCTGCGTCAGACGCATGGGCGGAGCATGGCCGGCGGAACGTTAACCCTATCAGTCAGATAGGATCTAGGTTTTAGAGCAAAAAGCAGATTGCAGGAATTGTAAAATTCTCTATATTTAGTGCGATCGCCAGAGCATTTTTCAGGATTACAGGCAACAGCTTCATAGGTTTCATGAGGAGTTCCTCCCGGAGCAGGGGGTGAAAACACCTGGTTTTGAATTTCTGTGATAAAAGTTCGGAGTCGTTCTTTTGCATTTTGTAATTCCTGCATTCCTTGGGTTAATATGTCGACTCTATAACTGAGGGCAGTTATCTGCGATGATACATCTGCTGGTTCCATTATAAGGCTCAGTTAATATGTAAAACTCTGAATTTTAATTTCGTGGAAAACAAATGCAGAAAAAAATGTAAAGGTCTCTTTAAATGGAATTAAACAAAAAAAATCAAACTTACTTGCAAAAGTCTTGTAGCATTCTTTTTCTGATTAACTTGATTTCGAAATAATGAAAACTGAACAAACTTCCTTGTTATTGAGTTCCGTATCCAATAAATCACAGTTGAAAGAAACAAAAATGAAGTAATCAATAAAAAAAAGGTTGGTAGATTTGCAAGGGACAAAAATAGCAGGCAAGTTGTTATGTAGCAGCAAAAGCTATTAATCAGAGGAGTGCTTTAGACAGCAGGTTAGTGTAGTAAGTGTAGGCTTAAAGTTCATGCAGAATCTTGAGAAGTAGATACCTTGGTTTTAACTTATCTTTGTAGGAGTGGACAATAGAGTAGTCAAAATCTGTTCCGTAGTCAGGGGTCAGAGAAGTCAGCAAAGTCGGATTTCAATAAGCAAGGTTCGGTACACATGTTGAAGTTGAAGGGAACTCAGACTGCAACTTTGTATCGCTTAGCTACAAATTAACTGAGTGATCTCAAAGCTGCCGCAGCGTCCCTCATATTGCGGCTGCGTCAGACGAAATGGGCGGAGCATGGCCGGCGGAACCTAGAAGTAACTCTGTGGGAATCGCAGATCGGTAAGTATTACAGATACTAGAGCCATAATATCCTCACTCCAAGATGTTAAGATTTTTATTCCTTGTGACCAGAACTCTAGACTTAATGTGCGTTGGGTCTGAGGTTTTGGTCTTGGACTCATAGTTTGTATTAGAAAATCACAGACAGCGGTTAAATCTGCGTTTCTATGGCCGTTGGACATTCAACAAAAAAGTTTGCCAGACGTTATAAAATAGCACTAGTTTAAAAAAAAAAGTGTTGAATGTCTCAGAGTCTAGAAGAACTCAAATGACACCAGTTCTGTGTCATCTAGTCCAACTATTTATTTACTATGTATATTGTTAGGATTGGCTAATTATAACATCATTGCTACAATCTAAATTTATGGCCAAGAACACGGATCCTTTTTAACATCTCAAGCTTGACTAGTGTAAATTTTTTTTTATCTATATGTGTTTCTTGGCACTCACCCTTTCGTGTAAATAATCCAATTTAGCCTAGGTGCAATCCCGCGTTGAAGATATATAAACAAAAAGAAAAGAGATGCACTCCAAGGACTTAAAGGACCACTATAGTGCCAGGAAAACATACTCGTTTTCCTGGCACTATAGTGCCCTGAGGGTGCCCCCACCTTCAGGGTCCCCCTCCCGCCCGGCTCTGGGGAGAGGAAAAGGGTTAAACTTACCTTTTTTCCAGCACCAGGCGGGGAGCTCTCCTCCTCCTCTCCACTTTCGATCCTCCTCTTCGGCTGAATGCGCATGCGCAGCAGGATCTGCGCGCGCATTCAGCAGGTCTCAGAGGAAAACATTTACAATGCTTTCTTATGGACGCTTGCGTGTTCTCACTGTGATTTTCACAGTGAGAAGCACGCAAGCGCCTCTAGCGGCTGTCAATGAGACAGCCACTAGAGGATTTGGAGGCTGGATTAACCCTAACATAAACAGCTGTTTCTCTGAAACGGCTATGTTTATTTAAAAAAAGGGTTAATCCTAGAGGGACCTGGCACCCAGACCACTTCATTAAGCTGAAGTGGTCTGGGTGCCTAGAGTGGTCCTTTAATAAGTGGAAAAAAAGGGGTCATTTATTCCAATAGGTATTGCATCAAAAATTAGCCGACGTTTAGACCCATTCGGGTCTTTCTCTTTTCTTTTGTTTTTATATATATATCTATATATATATACACAGACACTCGTCACTTAACTACCGGGTTTCGTTCCTACGACCTGGTCGTAGAATGAATTGGTCGGTAAATGAGGAGTTAAGGGATTCCCTGCTCTGGTGCGTTCGTCTATGTTTGGGGAAACTTTCCCGAACATAGACGAACACACCAGAGCAGGGAATCCCTCCAATCTATGCATGGGGAAATTTTCCGAACATAAATTAGAAGGATTCCCTGCTCTCGTGAGTTTGTATATGTTCGAGGATGTTTCCCCAAACATAGACATGCGCACCAGAGCAGGGAATCCTCATGACAGCTCGCACTTACGACCAGCCGAGGTAAAACAGATAGGTCGCTAAATAATGACTAATTGTTTACAAAGTATCTCACAAAAGTGAGTACACCCCTCACATTTTTGTAAATATTTTATTATATCTTTTCATGTGACAACACTGAAGAAATGACACTCTGCTACAATGTAAAGTAGTAAGTGTACAGCCTGTAAATTTGCTGTCCCCTTCAAAATAACTCAACACACAGCAATTAATGTCTAAACTGTTGGCAAGAAAAGTGAGTACACCCCTAACTGGAAATGTCCAAATTGGGACCAATTAGCAATTTTTCCCTCCCCGGTGTCATGTGACTCAGTGTTACAAGGTCTCAGGTGTGAATGGGGAGTAGGTGTGTTAAATTTGGTGTTATCGCTCTCACACTCTCTCATACTGGTGACTCGAAGTTCAACATGGCACCTCATGGCAAACAACTCTCTGAGGATCTGAAAAAAAGAATTGTTGCTCTACATAAAGATGGCCTAGGCTATAAGAAGATCGCCAAGACCCTGAAACTGAGCTGCATCACGGTGGGCAAGACCATACAGCGGTCCCACAGGACAGGTTCCACTCAGAAGAGGCCTCACTATGGTCAACCAAAGAAGTTGAGTGCACATGCTCATCTTCATATGCATAGGCTGTCTTTGGGAAATAGACTATGAGTACTGCTAGCATTGCTGCAGAGGTTGAAGGGGTGGGGTGTCAGCCTGTCAGTGCTCAGACCATACACCGCACACTGCATCAAATTGGTCTGCATGACTATTGTCCCAGAAGGAAGCCTCTTCTAAAGATGATGCACAAGAATGCCCGCAAACAGTTTGCTGAAGACAAGCAGACTAAGGACATGGATTACTGGAACCATATCCTAAGATAAACTTATTTGGTTCAGATGGTGTCAAGCATGTGTGGCAGCAACCAGGTGATGAGTACAAAGACAGTCAAGCATGGTGGTGGGAGTGTCATGGTCTGGGCCTGCATGAGTGCTGCCGGCACTGGGGAGCTACAGTTCATTGAGGGAACCATCTAAATTTTGTCTTATTGCGATGTTCCATTTTTCCTCTAAAGGACACAGAGTATGAAATGTATTTGCTTATTTTATTAACTTTTTTTTGGACTAGTTGTGGTTTATTTGCATGTCCCTGAATATGGTGTTTTGCCACCTCTGCTGGTTATCCATTCTATGCAGGGACGTATTAGCTGCGAGGCAAACAAGGCATTTGCCTTGGGCGGCACATTCCCAAATGCCTGGGCAAATGCCTTGTTAGCCTGGCGGCTAACTAACAATCCAGGCAGGCGGTTGT